CCCTTGTAGCTTGAAAATCATGCCACGCACATGTGTGCACATGCCCCAAATCATGAGGAGATTTTTTTAGAGGTTTTTGCTATAGGGCACGTGCATTGGCCAGACAGACAGAGAGAGACAGAAAGACAGAAAGAGAGAAATCACCCCCGGGGGGATGGCCACGCCACAATCCCTTCTCCTCCATTCTCCTCTCAGGATCTTGGGCACACATGCACAAGAGCCCAGCGTGAGTTTTAAGCCACTGGGTCCAGGATGTGAACCACGGTTGACTATGTGGGAGTCCAGCGACATAGCCATTACGCTAACTGCTGGTCCCCAATCATGAGAAGATTTTGAAAGAGAATGGATCATGGTGCAGCCCTCTCCCTGGAAGGTGATTTCTCACTTCCCTTCTTTCTGTTTCTCTCTGTCTCTCTGGTAAGCACATGTATCCTATGGCAAAAAAAAAAAAAAAAAAAGGCACACACACACTATCGAATACTACTCAGCCACGAAGAACAGTGAGACTCTGTCATTCAACACAACGTGAATAAATCTAGCAGATTTAATGCCAAGTGAAATAAGTCAGTGTGTGAAAGACAAACACAGGATGTCCTTGCTCAATAGATCAATCTGCCATAGGGCGGGCGCTACCACGCCCACACAATAGATCAATCCGTACTGAACGTCTGCACTTTATGGCCAAAGTGGAAGGAGTCGAAGACGTAGCAGGAGGAAAGACAAGCGTAGATGCCTGAGACTAGGGGAGGGGAGTGGACTGTGGTCAGGAGAGGCTCAGCCTAAAGGCACCTAACAGACACAAGAAGGTCCAGTCCTTTGTTGAAAATGACGCATATGATAATATCCTTGATTTGATTATCACACACTGCGTGCATGCTTTGAAAAGCCTAATTGTATGCCATAAAAATGTGCAATTAAATGTAAATAAGAAAATACAAAATAAAACAATTTATATGTGCTGGGAACCAGCAGTTAGCGTAATGGTTGTGTCGCTGGACTCCCATGTAGTCGACCGTGGTTCGAGTCCTGGACCCTGTGGCTTGAAACTCACGCCGGGTGCATGTGCGTGCGTGCCAAAGATCCCGAGAGGAGAATGGAGGAAAAGGGATTGCGGCGTGACCATCCCCCCTGGGGGGTGATTTCTCACTTTCTGTCTCTCTGTCTCTCTCTGTCTGTCTGGCGAGCGCACGCGGCCTATAGCAAAAACCTCTCCAAGAAAAAGAAAATAAAACAACTTATATGTGGAATATTGACTTAATACTTCTGATATTTCAAAATGAATGAATTTCAGGGCCAACAGGTGGTATGGTGGTTAAGGCACTGAACTCCCACAGGGCTGACCATGGTTAGAGTCCTGAACCCCGAAGCTTGAAAGTCATGCCAGGCATGTGTGTGTCCATGCCAGGAATTCCAAGAGAAGACTGGGAGAGAGGAAAGTGAGGCATAGCCACCCCTCCTGTGCCTTCTCACTTTCCTTCTCTGTCTCTCTCTGGTGAGCACACAGTCCCTAGAACAAAAACCTAAAAAAAAGAAAACCATGAAATTTATAATGGTAAGATGAAATTATCATAGTCCCAAAATGTTTGCATCTTTTAGGAACTGTTTACTGACTTTTTTGAATATTTAATTGCTATTTTATGAAATAGTCTTGTATGTACACTTATGATGAATAGGTAACAAATTTTGATTGTTCCTTAATAACTTTGCAATTTAAATCTCATATAATTTGAGACCCATTTTCTCCCCACAGGAAGAAAACAAATTTTAATAATGTACATTTGATGAGAATTAATTTATAACCCTTTCAGTGAATTTTCGTTCTAAGAATGCTCTTTATTTTGTCATCAGGATCTGTGTTTATAGGGGTTTCCCTCGAAATCGATAGTGTATTATAATAATTACTGTATTTCATCATGACTAACTTCTTGTACATATTTACAAACTTTTCAGGAGTGACTTTTCCAGCAGAAATTAAAGAATGCTGTAATGATGGTTATGAGATCTTAAAAATATTTTACATTTTTTTTAGAGAGAGTTTTGCTATAAGGCACATAACCCATGGGAAAAAGAGAAAGAGAAAGAGAGAGAGAGAGAGATTAAAGAATCTAACAACAGGGGGATGACTTTGACTAGGTAGAAAATCCTGAAGGGACTGGAGGAACCCATGCGGCTGTGTGACTGGGAGGAAGAGTGGAGCAAGGAGTGTCCATCCCGATGGGGAGGGTGGAAAGGCACTCTGCAGAACAGCAAAGGCAAATGGATTACAAAATTACTCCACACAGAGTGAATGCAAGCCGCTCCTTTTCCATTTTTTCAAGCAAATCGTTAATATGTTTTACATAACTCATGAATGTTTTCTTGCTGTTGGAAAGAGAGAGAGGGGAGAGAGAGAGGTGCCATAGGGCACATAGGCTCACCAGAGAGACAGAGAAACAGAAAGCAAGAAATTACCTTCCAGGAAGATGCACATGCCACAATCCCTTCTCCTCCATTCCCTTAGGATTTTGGGTAAACATGCCCATGCAGTGCGTGCCAAAGATCCCGAGAGGAGAATGGAGGAAAAGGGATTGCGGCGTGACCATCCCCCCTGGGGGGTGATTTCTCACTTTCTGTCTCTCTGTCTCTCTCTGTCTGTCTGGCGAGCGCACGCGGCCTATAGCAAAAACCTCTCCAAGAAAAAGAAAATAAAACAACTTATATGTGGAATATTGACTTAATACTTCTGATATTTCAAAATGAATGAATTTCAGGGCCAACAGGTGGTATGGTGGTTAAGGCACTGAACTCCCACAGGGCTGACCATGGTTAGAGTCCTGAACCCCGAAGCTTGAAAGTCATGCCAGGCATGTGTGTGTCCATGCCAGGAATTCCAAGAGAAGACTGGGAGAGAGGAAAGTGAGGCATAGCCACCCCTCCTGTGCCTTCTCACTTTCCTTCTCTGTCTCTCTCTGGTGAGCACACAGTCCCTAGAACAAAAACCTAAAAAAAAGAAAACCATGAAATTTATAATGGTAAGATGAAATTATCATAGTCCCAAAATGTTTGCATCTTTTAGGAACTGTTTACTGACTTTTTTGAATATTTAATTGCTATTTTATGAAATAGTCTTGTATGTACACTTATGATGAATAGGCCTAGGATGGGCTAAGGGCTTCGTCATGCAAATGTGTACTTCACAGCACATTTTTCAACATGCACTAGTCACCACACTCCACTGTGGTTATTGTGTAGTTGGTTATTATCCAATGTTGCAGTCCAGTTTCTTTTCAAAGAAACCTCTCTCACTGTAGACTGTTGAAGCTGCAGGGTGTCGAAACCCTGCCGGGAGTGCTGTAGCTCTCTTATTTCTCTCTCTGTCACCCATGGAACAAATAAACATTTATAAAAAAATCTGTCTTTTAGATCAGGATCTGTGTTCTATAGGGGTTTCCCTCTAAATTGATAGTGTATTATGATAATTACTGTATTTCCTTGAAATATTTATTATTATGAGATGTGATCACCATGCAGAGCTCTAGATCACTAGAAATTATTCCACCAGTCTAACTGACTTTGTACTTTTGATCAGCATTTTCACTTTCCCCATCTCCTCCCACTTCTTGCCGCTGGAAACCACCTTTCTACTCTACTCTCTTTCTGTTGGATTATTTATTTATTTATATGAAGGTTTTGGCCAGAGAGTGCATGCACATACTAGAGAGAGACAGAGACTCAGTGAGAGGGAAAGTGAGAAATCACCCCTGGGGGCATGCCCACACCATGATTCTTTCTCTTGCATGCTCTTCTTGGGATGTTTGGGTACACACCCATATGGTGGATTTTCAAGCCACTGGGCTCAAGACTCAAACCATGGTTGGCCCCATGGGAGTCCAGTGCCTTAACCACCATGCTACCTACTGGCCCCAAGATTATTAATAGTATTATTTAGATTCCACATACAAGTGAGATCCCACAGTATCTGCCTTTCTGTTCCTAGTGAATTTCACATAGTATAGTGTCATACAGGTCCATCTATGCTGTCACAAATGAGAAAACTTTCTCCTTCTTTTAAAGCTGTGTAGATTCCTTTCTGTGTACATGCCATATTGCTTTATCCGTTCCATCAGTGGACTCTTGAGCTGCTTCCGTATCTTGGCTACTGTGACTAGTACTGAAATAAACATGGAAGTTCATTCCATATACCAGTTTCAGTCCTTTTGGATGTACACCCAGAACGGAGGTTACAGGAACATACCACAATTCTATTTTTCATTTTTTGAAGATCCTCTATACCACTTTTCCAAATGATTGTATTAATTTACATTCTCACCAACAGAAGACACTATTGATTTTTAAAAGCAGTACCATTTTAATAATGTTATTTGAAGAAAAGAATACATAATTCATTTTAGCTGTACACAATGATATTATGACCTACCTTGATTTCAGATGCCTTAAATTATGGAGAAAAATATTCTGAGACAGATACTACATGGCATGCATACAGTTTTCAAAGTTTATTTATTTTCTTCATGAAATAGAGCAACTGTATGCACACAGGAGAGAGAGAGAGAGAAGCACCTTTGACAGGTCTCATGTCACCACAGTCATCTTTTCCAAGCCCTCTGGCTCATCAAGACCTTGGGCATGCATACATGCATCCAGGATGTTTTCAGATCTAACCTCTTGTCTGGCCTTGTGGCTTCCAGCCCTGTAGCTGAGGGTGCTGCCAGGCTGGGTATCCTATAGTTAATTTGTCTCCTCTCAGTCAGACTTTCGCATTCTCATAAAATGTGCATGCACAATGACTCATATATGACAAAGTATTAAATTTTATCCCAGTGACCTCTTTGTTCTTACTCTTTTTTCACCAGAGAACAAAGGAGAGAGAAAGATAGACGGAAAATGAGAGAGCACTGCCCATGGACGATGGTCGTACTGTGATCCCTTCTCCTCCATCTCTCCCTCTCTTCAGGATTTTGGGGATGCACACACACATACGTGGCATTTTTCACAAGCCACTCAGTCCAGGACTTGAACAGTGTAGTCAGCCATATGGGATCCAGTCACATTAACCATCGTGCCACTGGCTGCCCCTCCCAAGCACCCCAAGGGTTCTTTGACAGTCCATAGTACTACATTTTGAAAAGAGTGCAGGTCATTTCATTGAGCCCTCAAAATGAATACTCTCATCTGTGCACAACCTGTCTTTCCTGGGGCATTACTTGTCTCTTTTCATGCTGAGCATCCATGTCTGGATGTGCCAAGTTGCTAGAACCCCTAGGAACACAAGGAGAAGAAGCCCTTTCCCCAGGAAAATCCATTTCACTGGACAGTAGGTGCCTTCAGCTGCCTTGGAACCTGAAAAACAGAAAGTAGAGTGAGCGCAGACAGAGCACGTGTGTAACTCGAATGACGGCTACTGGCAGGTGCCAAGGGTTGCCTTATTCTCTCCTCGGTTCCTAGGAGTGATAGAGAGACCAGATGGTACCAGTTACCTGTACAAAGCTGCCCAACAAGGAGGGGAGTGGAGCTGTGACTGCTCACAGGATTCTGAGCCATGCAGGTGTATGTCCGATCCAGGTCATGAAGACACCAGGTGTCACTAAGGACAGACCCTTCCTGGGACACGACAGCCCATGGTCCCATTGGTGTCCACTGATATGTGACATGGTCTGCGTCCTCCACAGAACACCTCAGGGTGGCAATGCAGGACCCGTTCTCAGAGATGACAGAATCCACTTCAACCTGAGGTCTTCTCAGCTGCCCTGTTGGAGAACAGTTTCAAAAGATACAAATTGTAATAAAAGACCTTTCTAGGCCATGTCAGGAGGAGAGGACTCAGGTGATCAAGGGGAGAGAACTCTGAGAAACCCAGACCCTTCAGAGGAGGGATGCTGCTCTTCTATTTCCTGCCCCTGAGGATAGAAAAGGATAGGCTGTGGGTGTTTTCAACCAGCTGCAACCACAGCCACCAGCCAGAATCTCCTGGTGACTGAAGGATATAAAAGGAAAAGAAAATGAAGAAGGAAGCTCAGGACCAGCAGAGAGCATAATGGGGACATTGCTGGACTCCCATGCTGTTGACTGCGGTTGGAGTTCTGGACACAGAGGCTAAACACTCATGCTGGGCACATGTGCATGTGTGCCCAAAATCCTGAGGAAGAATGGAGGAGAAAGGACTGTGGTGTGGCCATCAACCATGTAGGCTGATTTCTCACCTTCTGTCTTCTGGTTAGCGTGTGCATCCTATAGCAAAAATTTTTTTTAAAAAAAATCTATGTAGGAAAGTTCTGGTCAAAAGAGTGAGACTGAAGGACCATCCTTAGCAAAGATCATCCAGCCCCCAGGATCACAGGTGGTCCCACCACCCTTACCCAGAGGGACCTGGTTCTCCAGGCCCTTACTCACTGAAAATCCTCAGAGTGTAGCTGGAAAGCCGTGAGGAGTTCTCTGTTCTCATCTGGGCGCTGTAAGGTCCTGCATCAGCCATCGTCAGGTTGTGGAGCTGCACGGAGTCAGGATGAATGAAGTTCAGTCGTGTTTTCCATTTAGGATCGGTCACGTGTGCACGTCCTGCTTCTCTCGGGTTTATGAAGGCAATAGATCTTCCACTGTGAAGCACGATGATGGATGTGATGTTCTCGGCCTTCCCTCCTGTGGGAAACTCCAGGGGAAGGATTACCGACTTCCCCAGAGCCCCGTTCACCACCACTGGCGTGGATGTGCTTTGTGAAACTGCATTGCCTATAAACACAGAAGGAAAAAGCCATAATACTGTCCCTGATGGTTCCTTGTCTGTCTGTCTGTTAGTCACAGCTCTCTCATGCTGGGACACGCAAGGACACTGAACATCAGCAGTGAGGCAGTGCGGAGCTCGCAGTGGGCAGCACTTCAACTCTCCTCCTGCTGGGATTTCTAGGCAGCCCTCCAGGATCCTTCCTGCTGGGATCACCTTTTTTCATCCAGAAGTGGGTTTCCCTAGCTACTGGCCATAAAGACCAGAATAGAGACCACGTTGGAAGCCGGAACATAGCCCTGCCCTGCTGGCTCCTCTGACCCCCTGTGTCCTGGATGCCTACTCTGCGGTTTTCCCATTTTCTGAAATGCTTGCCCTCCAGAGCCGGGCTTTCTGTACTGTGGTTGTCCTGGTCCCTCAGTGGCACATGGTCTAAGAGCCAGAGGGCAGACAGGATGCCCGTTTCTCAGTCCTGACCCTGCCTCTAACTACACGTGCAGCTTTGGGACACCTCTCTGTTTCTTCAAGCCTCTTCTCTTCCTTCATAAAACAGGGGAGATAAAATGCCAAACCTTTTGGATTCCTTTTAGCCCTGAAGTTCACAATGCCGTTACTGTATGTATCTGAGAAATTTGTTTTTTCCTCATGCCCCTTCTCCACTCTCTAGTCAGTCTTTCTTATGTTCAAAAGTCCTTCAACTTCTTCTTTTTAAGATAAATGTTTCTCGCCAGAGAGACAGAAAGTGAGAAATCATCATCCAGAGGGGATGGCCACACTGCAATCCCTTCCCTTCTATTTTCCTCTTAGAATTTTGAGCATGCACACACACGTGCCTCATGAGAGTTTCAAGCTGCTGAGTCTGAGACTCGAAATGCGGTTGACCTAGTAAGGCTCCAGCACTTCAACCACTAAGCCACCTGCTGCCCCGTCAATGTCTTCAGACTGATGTCCCAAGTTCTGAAAAACGGGGTCCTCAGTTCTGATGAAGGCCTCGTTTGGAAGCACTTGTGTGACATCCCTACCCTTTGAAAAGTCAGGCTGCAGGGAAGGAGCCCCTGACTCACCTTCCTGGGACTGGAGAAGCAGGAGAAGGAGGAGCAGCT